GCTGGCATCACAGCTCTCAGCAACCTCCAACTCCTGGGCTCAAGTGATTCTCCTGCCTCCACCTCCCAAGTAGCTGGGACTACAGGCGCCCACCACAACGCCTGCTGTTTTTTGGTTGCAGCCGTCATTGTTGTTTGGCAGGCCTGGGCTGGATTCGAACCCACCAGCTCAGGTGTATGTGGCTGGTGCCCTAGTCACTTGAGCCACAGGTGCTGCGCCTTTATTAAACTTATAGACAAACAGTGTCACAATTTCAATGATACAGTCTTATATGGACCATATTCTAAAGCCCTCTCCTTATAGTACATTTTGTTGAGACAGGGTCTCACCCTGTTGCCCTGGCTGGAGCACAGATACATCACCATACCTTACAATCTCAAACTCCTGGCTCAAGAAATCCTCCTACCTCAGCCTCCTGAGTAGCTGGGACTATAGTCATGTGCCACTACACCTGGGTAATTTTTCTATTTTCTGTAGAGATCCTGCCATTGTTCATGCTGGTCTCAAACTCCTGACCTCAAGTGATCCTCCTGCCTCAGCCTCACGAAGTGCTAGGATTATAGGCATAAGCCATTGCACCTGGCTCCTAACAGTACTTAATGACAAAGATTAGTTGCCAAAGAGATGAACAGATGGAGGAAAAGCATGGCTTAATATGCAGCAGGATATGTGTATTCAGTAGCTTCTATGAAATTTTGGTCCCTTATGCAAAGTATTTGAGGATAGCAGTTTTTTAATAAACCCACTAGTAGTATGTTGCCATTTGTTGGCTGATGTCAATTGGGATGGACCTAAACCTGTTGAATTGTTGGATACCAGAAGTCTTTTGGTTATGGTTGTTCCTTCAGATGACTTACAAGCGGTTGTTGAGGCTGAGTATGGTGGCTAATACCTGCAATCCTAGCATTCTGGGAGGCTGAGGTGGGTTTTGGTTAAGCTCTGGAGTTTCAGACCAGCCTGAGCAAAAGTGACCTTGTCTCTACTAAAAATCGAACCAAAAATACTAGCCAGGAGTAGTGGCACATTCTGTAGTCCCAGCTATTCGGAAGGCTGCAGCCAAAGAATTTGAAGTTGCTGTGAGCTATGACACCACCGCACTCTACCCAGGGCGACAGAGTGAGACTCTGTCTCCAAAAAGAAAAAAAAAGTGGTTGTTGATGTTTAGATTTAGAACTGAAGTTATTCCAAGTGACACAGTGACACAAACTGGGAAGTACTATAGAAAACATATGGCAATCTTACATTTTTTCAGGTCTGCTTCTGCTACTTTGATGTTGATATATGCAAAAATTTTCTGTGGGTTTCCTAAAAAAGAAAAAGAGAGAAAGAAATTTAAATAAACTTTTCTCCAGAGAACAATGTCAAAATGATTAAGTTTCTAAATTAAAAAAAAAATTTTCTTGAAAATTTACTCTGAAAGAAAAATCTTATCTAATGTTAACTGGACACAAATACTATATTTTTAAAGTATGATTATCGAAATATTCCAAAAAAAATAAGAAAAAATGTCAAGCAGTCAGATAAGGAAACATCTTGATTATATGCTAGTGATATTCTAGTGATTATCAGGACACTTAATCACTGTCAGAATGTCAGCTGTGAAAACTAAAAATTATGATTCTGAAATCAGATGTTTTACAATTTAGGCCAGGCGCGGTGGCTCATGCCTGTAACCCTAGAACTCAAGGAGGCCAAGGTAGGCAGATCCCTTGAGCTCACAACTTCAAGACCAGCCTGAGCAAAAGCAAGATCCCGTCTATAAAATATAGCTGGGTGTTTTGGCAGGCACCTGTAGTCCCAGCTACTCAGGAGGCTTGAGCCCAAGAGTTTGAGGTTGCTGTGAGTTGTAATGCCAGGGCACTCTACTGAGGGCAAGAATGTAAGATTCTGTCTTAAACAAACAAAAAACCCCACAGATGTTTTGCAATTTAGATTTTTCTGATTTCAGAAACTAATTCTGGTCAAGTTCTGAATCATAAGGCATCACATGTCACCCTCTGTGGTCAAAGGTAACAATCATCTCTGATGTTGCTTTATTTACAATAATTGACTTGAGATACATCTGCCTTTACTCTATGAAGGACTATATATTTACCTTGGTCATCTTTCCGTGTGATGATCTCCACATCAGAAACTTCTCCAAATCTGCTGAACTGATTTTGTAGGTCTGTCTCTGAAACCGTCTCACTAAGGCCACCCACAAAAAGGCGCTTTGGTTCTCTATTGGCTTTCATGAAGGTTGGGCATATACTTGATGTATTTTAGTGGGAAAAGCAACTTTCTGTATTAAGAGAAGAGTTCTTTTCCTTAGTTCTGCTAAATCTAACAACTCTAGTGTGTTTCACTTGCTATTGCATTGCTTCCACATTTTATCCATGGAGATACTATTCAAGCCCTACAACCACATTCTCAATGACGCACTTAATAACAGCACCCTCACACTCATAAAGACACAGGTACAGGCATATGCTTTCCTTCTAATTGGTCACGATATTACACTCTACACCTTCTCATTTATTTATTCATGTTGTTTTTCCTTGATTCATTCATACGTTTGCTTACTGACTTTAGCAAACATTTGCCAAACAGGATGTGGCAGGTAATACCCTAAACAGGTCTCCATCCTGGAGCTCTTCACAGTCACAAGACAAGAAAACAAATGCTGCAATTACTATATTACATCACAATAAAATTACCTGCAAAGTACCGTTCAGGTACAGAAAAGAGTAACTGATATTACAGCGAATACACATTTCTGATTTACCATATGCTTACACTGTACAAAGTAGTTTGCATGTATCCTATTTTTCAGAAGAGCAAGAGAGATTGTCACTGTCCTAATGCCAGACTTAGATTCAGGATTATGAGTGGTGAAGCCAGGATTATAATTCAGGTCTAAACGCAAAACTCAGAATTCTTAACACTATACAACGGAGATTGTTGGATTACAGCGGACTCAGGAAAACTTTTCTACAGGTACTGATAATCATCTTAAGAGCTTTCATCTCGTTTAACACCCGGCTCCTACCTGCCCTTTTGCAAGAGCTGACAGACTCCTCCCAAGTTAGACCCCTGAAACAGCGCCCAGAAGTCCAATGCAAGGCATGTATTGCGGGCGGAGGTAAGTCTACCTCCTCCGTGTAGTCTCCGCCCCCAACCTATCCTCCCCAGCCTTCTTACTCCGAGGAGACGCCCCATCACTTCCCAAGCTCCAAGCCCACTCCTCACCACGTCTTGTCCTACAACCTGCACCGCAGCAGCCCCAGCTTGTAGTCACATGTCTCAAGAGGGGTATTCTATTCTTCCTTCCTACTTGATTTCCAACCCAGCCTCCTAAGGTTCCGTTACCACACTCAATTTCCGAGGACTCTTGATTGCGTTTTCCGTTCTTCGGCCCACTGTGATTCTCTGCTATCTTCCCCTCAACTACAGTCAAAGAGTTCGACCCCAAATCCCCTAGTTTTTATTGAAGCGGCTTATCGCCTTGCGGTCGCCGATTCCAGGACTACATCGGCGGAAGTGACGGATCAGAAGAAAAATAATGAGGCGCTCCCCTCCAGTCTTCCGGAACTGCCTCTTCAGCGACGCACGCCGCGGGACGGCTCCAAGGCCGCTGGCGGGGGTGGGCAACTGAACGCGTGTGTTTCGGGTTGGAACGTCTTAGCTCTCTCGACAGTGTAGGGACTGCTTCAAGACAGCCGTGGAAATGTCAAGGACTCGGATATCGTGGGAGTGCGGAGTTGGAAGCGCCGGGCCATGGGGTTTACGCTTTGCTCCCTAGTCTCTCCCCGCGTGAGCTTCGGAATGGTCCTCGCCGGAGCGCGCGCGAGGCTTGAAGCGCCGGATTAGGCGCGCCTGTTAGGAGGTGACTGCATTGCTTCGGGACTGGCTGGCTTCAGTCCCGTGTCATGGACGCCAAGCTGGCCGAGGTGCGCGCCTTGCAAGCTGAGATCGCGGCCCTTCGGCCGGCGTGTGAAAAGAGGACAGCGCCCTGGGAAGAGATGCCCAGAGTTCAGTACGTCACCCCTGCGCACCCCTTTGGGCCCTCCGACCTGGGTCCCCAGCTACGGACCTTGCTGGGCTCCAACCCCTAGCCAGGTCCCTCCTAAAAATCGTAGCCTGGGACGTCTCGAAATGTGGGCATGAACTAGTATCGGTCCTGTAATGACAATGGTCCACGGTGGTGAGCACCGCGTATGAATGGATCCCTGTTGCAAACGTATTGCAGTGTGTTAATTCGTTTAATCTACCTTCGATAGGCAGAGGTATCTGGTGGTATCTAGGTGGGATTTAATAATTCCATTTGATTTTTTGGCATTTGTTTTTATGGGTCAGCTAACCATTTTAAACTATATTGACTTTTGTTTATGATGACAAAAAATTTTGTTTGAAAAGTAACTTTGGTTAAAAAGTAAAGAAAAACAGTTAACATAGCTAGTGTTGGAGAATTTGGCAGTCCTCTGAGGTAAATGCTTTTGTGAATCCCGTTTTATAGTTAAGGAAACTGAGGCTTGGAGAAGTAAAGTAGCTGGCCCACCATGGTTTCAGAGAAAAGATGTGTCAGAGGTGGATTAGGACCCCAAAATCAAAAGTCCAGGCCCTCATTTTCAGTTTATTGAAGGAGAGAAGGTCTGTAACAGTTAATCGGGTGTCTTCTTAAACATATATGCTACTTGAAAATAAAAACTATCTTCATTTTTAAAGTCTAGGCTAATTTGGCATAGTCGTAGAAAGAATGAGATTTTCCTCAGTCCACTAGAAAAGAGTTTGTATAATAGAAAATGGGAAGGAGGAAGAGGTCTAAGGAAAATGCTTGCAAGCATGTTCTATATTTTATCTGAAAGTGGAAAATCCTGTGACGAATAAAAGGAAAAGGGTAACAGGTGAAAAGGGCATGTATATTCCAAAAGTGAGAATGAATTTTTTTTTTTTTTTTGCAGTTTTTGGCTGGGCTGGGGTTTGAACCCGTCACCTCCAGTATATGGGACCCTTGCACCCTACTCCTTGAGCCACAGGTGCTGCCCTTTTTTTTTTTTTTTTTTTTTTTTTGCTTTTTGAGAGTCTCTGTGTCACCCTTGGGTGCTCTGGTGTGACAGCTCACAGCAACCTCCAACTCTTGGGCTTAAGCGATTCTCTTGCCTCAGCCTCCCAAGTAGTTGGGACTACAGGTTCCCACAACAATGCCAGGCTATTTTTGTTGTTGTTGTAGTTGTCATTGTTGCTTGGCAGGTCCGGGCTGGGTTCAAACCGGCCAGCCCTGGTGCATGTGGTTGGCACCCTAGCTGAGCTACAGGCACAAGCCAGAGAGTGAATGTATTAATGACCCTTATTACTTGAAGTGTGTCGCACAGATTGGAAGCTTTAGCATCACCTGAGCGTTTATTAGAAGTACAGATTGATAGGGCCAAGCGCAAAGGCCCCTCAAAGTAGAACCCAACACAAAGGCCTACCCAGAAAGGGATGAGTGCACCAACCTTGGAACCCCAGACGCTTGTATTTTCATCCTGCCTTGCCCCTCAGGCTGACTTCCCTTTTCGAATTCAGCCCACTGGCACCTGAGTGAATAAATACCACATTCCCCACACAGAACCTGGATTCCCCTTCCTTTTGTTTATGTCTGGGAATAACCTCTCACAGATTTCAGTTATATCCTGGACCTACTGAATCAGAATCCGCATTTTAAAAAGACACTGCCCCACACTTTAAAGTTGGAGAAGCACTGTATCACACTATGGGGAAAAGTGGTTTCCGTATTGTCCACAAAGCAGTTATTAGTAGCCCAGAATAACATAGATTATTCATGTAATCTGAGACTTCACATAGACCAAGTTGGGAAATCAAAGGTCCATTTGTGGGAGACATTAAATCTCAGTCCAGGGTATTTGGATTTAATTTGAAGTTTCGTTTCACTATGAGGAAGATTGAGACCTGTGTACCAAGTTACTACTTAAGTCATTTGAAATGGTTAGAATAAGGGTCCTCAAACTTTTTAAACAGGGGGCCAGTTCTCTGTCCCTCAGACCGCTGGAGGGCCAGACTGCAGACCCCAGGAAGAGTTGGCTGCTAATCAGGACAGGAAGCGGCCATAAAATCACCCGGAGGGCCAGATAAATGTCCTAGGTGGGCTGCATGTGGCCTGCAGTCATAGTTTGAGGACGCTTTTAGATGGATTGGAAATAGGAAAGCTGGAGCTAAATTATTCATTTATATCCATGTGTCCACACTGTGGAACCAAATTGCCTACTTTCAAATCCTGGCTTTGTTATTGGCTTAGTGATCTTAGTTAAGTGATTGCCCTTTTCTATGCTTCATTTTCCTTCTTGGTAAAATTATAGCCAAATTACTGGTTTGTTTTAAGGACTAATTGAATTAACATGTAATTCATTTAGGACAGTGCTTGGATCATTATGGTAGCTAACACTAGCAGACCATTGATTTTAAAACTCAAGTTGTATTTAGATTTATTTTAAAGGAAAAATTTCTTAGTGAACTCCTAATTTTGACAAAAAGATTTTATGCTAGTAAAACAAATTTACAAATAATAAAACTACAAAATAATAAAATTCAAACTAATCCAAACTAGTTTAAACTGACATCATTAGTTGAACTAGATCAATGATAATTTGCTCAAAGTAAATAGCTGCTATGAATGCGAATATTCAGGTTCTCTTTTTTTTTTAAGTGTAATTTTACTTTTAATTGTTTTGTTGTTTTTGCAGTTGTCATTGTTGTTCAGCTGGCCTGGGCTGGGCTCGAACCTGCCAGTTTTGGTGCATGTGGCTGGCGCTGAGCCAGGTTCTCTCTCTTTTTTTTTTTTTTTAATGGTAAAGCATACATAACATAAAATTTACTATTCTAACCATTTTTAGAGTACATTAAACACATTCACACTGTCATGTAACCATCCCTACTATCCATCTCCAGAACTTTTCTATCATCCCAAACTGAAACTTTATACCTATTAAACAATAACTCCCCAATTCCCCTCCAACAACTGCAGAGTTTTTTGTTGTTGTTTTAGTTCTGTATATTTGTCCTTTAATGTGATGACTTGAATCTCTTGTTACTTTTCTTTATTGGAAATAACCTTGAACTTTTCATTCATGGGTTACTGTGAAGTTTGGTGTTCACTTTTCAGGAAATTATCCCTTAAGTACAAAGATTGCCACTGTTCTTTTTTCATTCATTTTCTATATTTAAAGTAATTTTGGGGTGGGTACGGTGGTTCACGCCTGTAATCCTAGCATTCTGGGAGGCCGAGGTGGGTGGATCGCGTGAGCTCACGAGTTTGAAAGCAGCCTGAGCAAAAATCGAGACTCCATCCCTACTAAAAATAGAAAAAACTGAGGCAAGAGGATCACGTGAGCCCAGAATTGGAGGTTGCTGTGACCTGTGATGACACCATGGCACTCTACCCAGGGCAACAGCTTGAGGCTCTGTCTCAAAAAGATAAATAAATAAATAAAAATAAAGTAACTTTGGGGAAATCTCAGTCTATGATGGCAAAGGCAAAAGGGTATGGTAGTCTCATGTAAAATATATTTATATTAATATTTTAAATTAGCATTCAAAAGAAAATTTAAAGTTTTACAGGCTTCATTCAAGTCCTGGATCCTCAGTATGAAGAATATGGAGAAAGATTATTCACTAGTGACATGGCATAATGTTATGAGAATTGGGGCTAATATAGTGGAATTAGAAATTAAAAAGGAAGGCTACTGTATGAGGGAACAGAAAGGATGACCGTAGGTCCAGATTTGAGGCAATTGAAGGAACCCAGGATAACTTCTAAGATGTGGAGCCTGAAGTAATCTAAAGCAGTGATTTTCAACTGATGTGCTGTGAGAAATCTTAGGTGTGCCATGAAAAAAATTTTTTTTCCCCGTTTTTGGCTGGGACTGGGTTTGAACCTGCCACTTCTGGCATATGGGGCTGGTGCCCTACTCCTTTGAGCCACAGACACCACCCTGCCATGAAAATTTTTAAAGACTATTTTCAAAAGATGTTCAAAACATAGTAAGTATATTCTTTTTTTTTTTTTTAATGCCACGGAAGTTTAACTATAGATTCAAATGTGCCGTAAGATAAAAAAGGTTGACAAACACTGATCTAGAGGAAGATTTTATCATTTAAAAAAGTAGAGGAATTTAGAGAAAAAAGTGATAAGAAGAAAAAACAGTTGGTGGGGTATCAGGCTAAATCTGCTTTATAGGAGAAGGAGATCAATGAGTAGAGGTATATTTTTGGAGTTACTGGCATAGAGAAGCTGAGGCTAATCATTGAGCATTCATCTGAAAAAGAATATGTATTTAGGACAGCAGAGATAACAGGGTTTTCCTCTAATTTTGGAGACAAGAAGAATAGACAATGAAGGATCCAAGACAAAAAGTGAGAGATAGGATAATCGTGCTCCAGAATCCAAGGGAAGGGATGTTTTAAGATGGCAGGAGAAGTCAACAGTATAGCATGTAGCAGAGACCTTAAGGGAAATAATGAC